TTCTTGGAAAGCTAAATGGATTGTTTGGTTTAAGTCTTGTGCAAAGCTACACGAGGGCTATCTGCACTAGCCTCCCCTAATTTAGCATTAAAAGAAGGTAGCTAGTCATCACCACCCACTACCAACTCTTGGGCTACTCTTTTACCAATGAATAGTGGGATTGACCCACTATAGTCACATTATAACAACCCCACAGCTGAAAGGGGCGAGCATATGTGGTGGGATGGGTATTCGAACCTGCAATCCTCATATTGCAAGTTAAGCACCCTACCACCTGGTCATGTTGATAGAATGGTGGACTATTCTTTGTACTAAAGAAGCTGTCATCAATAGGTCCGAGGTTGAAATTCACCTAGTCAGAGGTTTTGTTTTAATACATTCCTCTCCCAGCCCAAAAACAATGACCGATTTTGTGTATTCTCACTTTCAATTAGAGTAAGATGTTTGATGAAAGAATACGTTGACTGTTTGCATCCTTTTTATTTTTTTACTTTTGATCAGCTTACGAAAATTGTTCTGGTTGAACAAATTGGAGTTAACTGAATGTCAACAAGTATAGAATTATTTCAAATTTTGTTTCACTGCATCATGAGGTTCATGGAAATAAAAAATTAACTAGACTCCATGTTTAGAGTTTGCAACTTTATAAACATAACTTCTTATTGGATAGTTCTCATCACCCTGAGTCACGTAACTTATTGCATAATGGTTACGTCAATGAGAGTAACTGTAGCAGTAATACTGTGATTTCTGTTTCCTAAGTAAAATTTCGAAATTTCTGTATCTCCTTTTAGTTTAGTTTGGATGCAGAGTCGTTCAAGTAAACATTACTGAAAAAGAATCATCTTAAATCTCATATGGAGTTTTTGACAAAGCATGTAAATGATACTGCAGACATATGGCAGAAGGTTTTGTGGTCAGACGAGACAAAAAGTGAGCTTTTTGGTCTAAATCCAAAGCATTAGATCAGGCACAAGCCCAACACAGTACATTACCCAGTCAATATCATCCAAACTGTTAAACATGGTGGTGGCAGCATCATGTTATGGGGATGCTTCTCATCAGCAGGGACTGGACAGCTTGTCAGAATTCTAGTGTAAAACCTGCTTGAGTTAGCCAAGAACCTAAAACTGAGTTGAAAATTCAAATTTCAGCAGGACAACGATCCAAAGCACAAGGCCAAAGCCACACTGGAGTGGTATTAAAAGAAGAATGTGAATGTCTTGGAGTGGCAAAGTCTTGACTTGAAACCAATAGACAATTTATGGCAAGATTTGAAGATTGCAGTTCATCAACAATCCCCAACGAACTTGTCAAAATTGGAGCAATTTTGCCAGGAAAAATGGGCAAAAATTACACCATCCCATTGTGCAAAGCTGGTAGAGACCTATCCAAAAATACTCGCAGCAATAAATTGCTGCCAAAGGTGCTTTCACCAAGTACTGACTTTGCAATCAGCAAATTTAAATTTACATATTTTCTTTGCAGGTTTTGCTCCTTCACAAATAACAGTGTTAAGTTTGATCATTAGAGTTTTGAATAAAAACAAGTTCATTAAAAATATTTACATTATTTGTATTTCATCAAAATGTGACATTATTAGTAGAGGTGAATACTTTTGCAAGGCACTGTAGCTATAGCACAGTAACTGCAAACATATTACAGATGAAAAGCATATAGCTATTGCCCTGTAACTGCATTCTTAAAGAAAAACATGGCTATAACATGATAACAATATCTCTATTGTGTGAAAACATGTTGTAATATTATAACAATACTGTAGACAAATGTGTAGCTTAACATTAATGACTATCTCTGTGGACAAACACACACACACACACACATACATACATACATATATATATACAGAAGTTTTAACAAAATTCCTCTGAACAAACCAATGGCATACTACTGTAACAGCATACCTTTTAATTAAAATTTAAAAAAAGATATCTTAAATTGGGCTACTAGTTTCATAGTTCTTTTAAGCTGCCTACAGAACATTAAAACTATTTCATGAAAATATTATATTTTGAAATATTTTTATCAAAAGTCATGTTTTAATATTAATTTTACTACAAGTGCATTTTTTTTATAGAAACACTCAAGTCATGCTATTGAATACCTTTAAGAAAAAAAAAGACAGTGGACCCACTGTTTTATTTTTGAAAGCTACATAACTGCTAATAATTACAAAAAAATAGTACCTAACACACAGCACACCTTTTTAAGGTGTCTCTACAACAGACATCTAATGTAGTTTCACTCTTAAAAAATTTAATGACTTTAAAAAATATGTTTATGTACCAGCAACAACACAAAAAATTACTCATATTTTCAAACAAAATTTGTATAGCATACACACCAATATAAAATTCACTTTGAAATTACAAATGAGACCATTAAACAAGGCTTTCTTTTAATAAGGCAAGAAAATATTACCTTTGTACTAAGTTTAAATTTCAGGGTGGAATACAACATTAAAGTACTCCTGGGTAAGATAAGTTATTCACATATAATATTTGCTATTTTCTGCATATTTTGATTTGTAAGGGCAACTGTTTAAAGCTGTTTTAGTAGCATACTACTGAAAGATGATAGTTTTAATAGGAGATATATTGAAATTCAATTTCAAATCAAATCCAAGCAGAGTATATTGATAACAAATCTACATTTATTGGTACAAAAATTCCCAAGGGAGGTTGATTAAAATTTTTTTCATGACATTTTGTTAGTTCTCAAAATATCAACACATTATCTTTTGTAAAAATAATAATAATAATAAAAGAAAAAACTAATTTGAATAAAATGTTTCATATTGTTAACCATTTATGGTACACAGTCAATACCAATATATTTTATGGTATAATAAAAAAAATCACTGATGTAAAAGAAATTAAATCACCAGAAATTCACTTGGATCTTCCTGTTAGAGCAACAGCCACCACTTACACAATGTGTACAATCAATATACATGGCCTTACTTGGAAAAAAAACACATTAAAACCCCATACAGCACAAAGCTGTTTAAAATACACTTAAGTTAAACAAGTTTTAGTTCATATTTATAAATCTAAATTCACAACATCATCTAGAGCACCATAACTGGAAAAGAACTGCCGTGAACAGTCATTTGTTTGAAATAGACTACTCTCTGCTTTTGCTGATAATCTACGATCTACACTTGGGCTCTTTGTTGGAGATGTCACTGCACATCCCACAAAAGCCTCAATTACCACCTCGGTATGATCTGCAAAATTCAAGGAATACTCTGCCAGATGGTAAGCAGGGTCTATAACGGCATGATAAGATGTACAGTGATGTGTTATGTCCATTTCAGCCTGTGCACGAGAAATAAAACTTGCTGCAAAGCCACAGCCATTACATTTAAACAGCCATTTTGTAGGCTCTTTCTGAAAATTTGGAAGGTTTCTGTCTTTAATGGAAGAGGATGACTTAAATGGTGAAAGCGGTTGAACTGTGGAAGCACTGCAGTTTGGCCCCTGTATGGGAATTCTACACGTTTTTGCTGATGAGTGGAGTGGTGAAATATTGCTTGAAATGGGCAAATATCTTTCACCTTCAGAATATTTCAGGCACTGACCAGCTTGGAGATTATCCTTTAAACCTAAACTTGTGGATGACAACAAATTCCTGGGAGTGTTTATTTTCTGGGAACTATTAAGTACCCCTCCTGTATGTCGGTCACTCATGGAATTTTGTGGCATGTAGTGAAGACCGTCTGTTGACCCTTCAGTGGTTAAGACTGACTGGTTGTGTTCAAAATTTTGCAATTTCTTTTGTTTGTTATAAAAATGATTTGAATCACTGCTATACAAATTATTATATCTGGATTTCTGAGAAACTCTTATGGACTGTCTGATGTGATGGCTATTAAGGCTATTACCAAGCTTCAACCTACAAGATTTCAGAATGGGAGGGACTTCATCTCCAACGTATACATTTGTTTCCCAATTTGTTGAACTAATAGGCTCTTGTCTCTCCTTATTTTCTGTAGAAATTGGAGTCTGTTTAATAGGAGATGACAGATAATTATTACTAATTCCATAGTTGTAACATTTGCTACTTTTGTTACTGCTGTAAAACATGGTGGATTGACTGCTTTCCTGGAAAGTTACTTCTTTTTGATTTTTCAGCAATTTTTGAGCTACGTTCTGCACATCTGAAGCTGGAGTCTTTACTGTCTCTGCTAGTAGCTGTTGAAGTACAACATCAGGTCTATATTCAGAAATTAAACCATTTCTTGATAGTTTTACACTGCATTCATTATGTTTAAACTCAGTTTCAAGCTTTTCAAATTCCTCTGCTATGTCAACAAGTTTTACACAGCAACGTGGCAGCTTTAAGACTTTAACTTGTTTGTGATGGGACGTGGAAGAACTAAACCTTAAAGGTAGCCAAGGTTTCTTACAACGTCTAGTACGATCTTTTGTTTCACTTGATAAACGAGATAGTTTTTCAAGTAACTGTTTAAACAATTCTTTCTTGTGATAGTCCAAGGATGAATAGATAAGACTTGAGTTACCTCCTAAAATTTCTGGTTCCTTTTGCACTCGTCTATTTTGTATACCATGTTTATTCATCAGGATATGCATCTCTTCAGCAGTATTATTGTGGTCAGAGGTACTTGAAAACATTTGAACTGTGCTATTTTTGTTGAGAACAATATCAGTCATGGCTGACTGATTTTCAAGTTTTTCTATGTCTGTACCTGACTTTCCAGAGGATGTGAAAGAGGACTTTGGTAGAGAGTTACAAGGTGAATGTTTACTTAAAAAACAAATATCTCTCTTATTGGGTGATAAATCTTGGTTTCTAGAACTGGCTATTTGAGTAAGGCTACTGTGAAGACTTGAATTATTTTTCTTTTCTCCACAAGAAGTTATTACTTCATTATTTTGTTCTTTCTGTGTTTTATTAGAAGCCGTTTCTGAAGTGCTGAACTCCATTATTTTCAGCTTAAGCGATAAAGGCAAGAACACCAGAATAGGTTTCTTTGAAGATGATAAAATAGACTTTGAACTATCCATAAACTGTACTTCATAGAGATCACCCTTGTGACATTGTTTTGCACTTATCTTATTTGTATAATTTTTCCTCAACCATTTTTGTATCTCTTGCTTAGTTAGCCTTTTTACTCTCACTGAAACTTTTTTGCAGAGTCTCTTCAATTCTCTTCCCCGTTTGTTCAAACCTACAACGAAAAAATGTCATACAAAATTATACGTCATCTCACTTAATGCTAAAGTTGTCCAAATCAATTGAAAAAATTACATGAAAACAAACTGCCAAGAAGAATTTGAAATTAAAATACTAGCATCTCTGCCATTGAGGCTATCTACTGTCATTATTTAATTCAAATAATAAACATCTGGTTATTACCATAGCCATTTGATGTATAAAAAGCAAAGCATTGTTGAAAAACAAAATTTAGCATTCAAGCAAACATCACCAATAAAATTACAACTAGAAAAAAAAAAGAATATATTATTTAGCATGTCTTCTTACAGCCAAATGTTTTAAATATACAGGTTAGATATGTATATGTATGTGCAAATTAAAATATTATTTAACAACCTCTGTGACCAATGAAAATGCATTTCACTTGTCACATGAGCTGATGTAAAAAGTATTATAAAGACTGCTTTAACTCATAAAATTATACTCAGATAATAAAAATAAAATGTCACAAACATACAACAATATATTCTGGTACAATCCAAACCCAAGATTAATTGTAAAAAATGTGGTCTAAAGAAAAACCAACATGTGATGTGTACATTATCTCTGTAGGAAGAAATCTCAAATGTATACTGCATTGAAACAAAACTATTATTAAGGTGGGGGGGGAATAATGTTCAATTGTGTAATGAAGTAAACATATTGTTACGTCTCCGTGCGTTAGTTGATTTTCCGTAACTTCATTCCGACGAAACTTTAGCGACACAAGTCCTTACTTAATAAAACTGGTTTATTCTTTCCGAATACAACTTTACGATACACTTAATTTCAACAGTCGCGCTATAACAAACGCTATATCTCACGTGGCAAACAATATTTTGTCCGCATACCTTCAATTACTCATTACACTGTTGTCCCGTCACGTTGTGACCATCTTATATATACCAGACTACCCCAATCTAGTAAATGCTAGGGCATTCACGAAGGAACAGGATATTTCTAGAAATACGTGGCGTGATACTAGTCACGTGACCTCGCTGACGCAACAGTAGCTTATACAATAACTATATAAGTTGGGTTTGTTATGCATCAAGTGCTGCCACCTGTACCAATTATCTTATTTCCACAGTGTGAAAGTGAATAATGTAAACAAAAAGCAAAACTTATGGCACCAACACACAAAAATAGACCTTTTTAAGTTACATTCATCAACAAAGTATTTTAGAAAAATGTAACTCATAATGTTCTTCTCATATATTTGTTACTCCTAAACTACGATATTTACTGTTCTCTGGTAGATAAGTTGGATGTAGAAGCTTCCTGCTAAATGCTGCAAGAAATAAAACAATTCCTACAATAAATCTTCAAGAGTGCTAATAGAAAGATCAACAGCCAATTTATCTTAAAACATTTCTAAACAAAGCACTGCTAGAAACAAAACAGCTCCTCAATTCAACGAATATTAGAATTAAGACATCACATCTTCCATAATATCCAAATATTTATGTCTATCTAAAATAAGAAGAAGAGAATAAGATTTTTCCAATGATCCAGCTGAAAGTAAGCTCTTAGTGCCTCATTCTGATCTTCAAACCACGATCTTAATACTTCAACCAGTTTGAAATATTTCCAGCCATTTTTATTCCTAAAAAAGTGTTTATAAACTCCAGACCACAGATTTAAAATTTTGCCTTTTACCATCTGCTAAATGAAAAATAGAGCAAATTTTTCATTTCACTAAGTTTACATAGTTATGATAAAAACTTTGCAAAAAATAAAGAGGAGGTTAGAAGATACTATCATAACTATTATAATTTTATTCAAATAAACATTGTTTATACAATATCTGGTAAAAATCTGAGCTTTAACACGTGCACAACAGGTCAAAGTGTATATGTCACAACCTTTTACAGAATTACATTCAAAATTTAATTAAATAATTTTATTATCAATGTATGCCAATGAATTTGATATTAAAATATAATTTATAATTCAAATTTTGATCTTAGTTAAGTTTTAACTCCTTACTTTCAAAAGAAAATTCTCAATTTTTGCACTTCTGTGTCAAATTATGCACTTACGCTTCATATCCTCCATTTCAGAATATTCTAACATCAAAAATAGGCTGCTGATACTTACAACCCATAAGAAACATGAACTACACATATTGACAAGCAAGAATACAAACTTACAACCCATAAGAAACATGAAATACACATATTTACAAGCAAGAATACAAACTTACAACCCATAAGAAACATGAAATACACATATTGACAAGCAAGAATACAAACTTACAACCCATAAGAAACATGAAATACACATATTGACAAGCAAGAATACAAACTTACAACCCATAAGAAACATGAAATACACATATTGACAAGCAAGAATACAAAATTTGAAACTCTCAATGAATAAAGATCTTAAGATAGTTTATATTTCAAAGATAGCAGTTGAGAAGAAATGCTTGGTATATTTTAAGTAGTTTTAGCTAGTAGCAGTAAAATAATTTTAACCTATTTATATCTTAGTTAAAAAGCCAGGTAAATTATAGTAATCTTGGGACAATCTATTCTAATGTCTGACATATTTTGTGTGTTCTAAAATGCATATTGTTACGACAGCGGTAGTCACGTGACGCTGGTAACACGTCATGATATTCTAGAAGATTCACAAAGAAACAAGATGTACGCTTTTTGTATATATATGACCGGTAAGAAGTGACGGCAACAATATAATTGAACTGCAGACAGAGATAGAGACTGACAATTGAGTCGAGCGAGCACGTGAGTCGTTCGTTGTGAATTATAGCGTTTGTTATAGCGTGACTGTGGAAATTAAGTGTATTGCAAATTTGTATTCAGAAAGAATAAACCAGTTTTATTTAAGAAAGGACTTGTATCGCTAAAGTTTCTTCGGAAAGAAATTATACAGAAAATTAACTAACAACCAGAGACGTAACAATATTTTAAAGCTACACAAATTTTTATTTGAGTAACTAATTTTGTGAAAATAAAGCAAGAACTACTAGTGAGTGTAAAAGTAAGTCACGTGAGCTTCATGTTTGTGGTGTTTATGACAAACAACTAAACTAACGGGGTCTTGCTGGGATTTATTGCTTTTGACAAAAGAGAGTAGTCCAAAGTACAGGCAATTAAACCATAAAATTAAAAGACAAGCATTAACAGTTAAAACTTTGGGTTTAATAATATTGAAAAGTTCAAAAAATGAATTAAAAAGGTACTGTTAATTTTATATAATATTTTTCAATTAAAGTTAGTGTTAGAATAGAGAAAATAACAAGCTAATATAAAACTTTAACAAAAACTTTTGATATTCATTTAGGAGGTTCTAGAGGTTGTTCAAATTAAATATGAAAACTGTGAGATGAAATTATGTATCTTTATTCTTAACATGAAAATTACCTTTTACTGAATGCTTACTAAAAGCTTACCAAATTTCATGAAGGTAAATCTAATAAATTCAGCACTACAGTAAATATTACTATGTGTAACTTCACAGAAAATGGGTTGATCCAAGAAAACGAAGCCAAGCTTATAGGGTTAACATTTAATGAGTTAATTAAATAACATGTGAAACAGAAGAAAAACAGATTATACAGATTGCTTAATCCTTCCTTTATAATACTTCTCTTGCCAGAATGATGTCAGAGTGGACAGAAATTTGCCATGAACCAAATAAACAGACATCAAACATGTCATCAATGGTGCCAGTCCACATCACTACATTAGTATATCACTCTCATAAAATATGATCAACCCTCCATAAAGCTATTGTAGTACAGATGTTTCGAGTCTTTGTCTTAATCGTTATCCTTTTCTAATGTGTATTGTCAATTACATGTACAAGTATTTCTTAAATTTTAACAATAAAAGACTGTTATGCATTTCACCTTCTAATTGAAACATGCTTCTAAACATTCACTAGTTCAATGTGTTTAATTTTTTTCTTTTATATAGTAAGAAAGCATGCTTACACATTTTTACTAAAATAGAGAAAAATAGGGATACCTGGTTATTAGTAAATGTTAACTGTCAGTGAGTGTCAACCTTTAGAAATAAGCATTTTGAAGATAATTTAAAAACTCCTTAAGTATATGTATATAATTTGGAACTGTTCCCTTTATAAATAGCTCACAGTGTTTCTTTCTCTAATAGTTGAGGGGCAATATATAGATATTTATCTAAAATTAACCAATATTCAAAGTTAGCAATAACTGTTTCATTTTAATTAAGCTATCAATTTAAAACTACTGCATCCCCTAGTAGAATTTACCTTCAAACTACTGTAGGCTTTGACAGCAGCAATCACAAAATCAATGTTATTAGCCAATTCGCAACAGGCTTATGGATTTTACTTCACCATGTAAGTATAGTGATATAGATACTATAACTCTGAAAGTAGCTAATGTATCTTCACAAAATTTGGCAAGCTTTCAGTAAATATTAAGTCTTTTATAGACAAAAATTCTATTTTTTAAGTATGCTTACTAAAACTTTGTCCATAATTATATGGAATTAGAGTGTTGACTGCTTCAAATGCAAAGTGATTTTCATGTTAAAAATAATTTCCTTCATCTGAAAATTTTCAAATTTCATTTGCATAGTACCTAAAACCTTCTAAATAAATATTAAACGTTTTTTTTTGCAAAAGAACTCCATACTTTACCTGTTATTTTCTATACTATAATTCTATACAAGATCGGTCAAATTAACTGACCTCATAACTACTAAAAAAGTAGGAAATAAATCTAAATTACCCCTTTTTCCTTTCTGGAATGATTGTAAATTGAAACAGGAAACCACAATTGTTTACCCTAAATAGCTTAAATCCTGTAGCAGTATACATCTATTTATACTTAATTTTATTGGTTTATTGCCCTTTAAACCATGTCTAACTATTAAACCTACCACACAAGTTTAAATCACTTGGTAAACATATAGCTCACATTATTGTATCAAATTATGTAACACACGAGCTGCTTGCAAGCATATCTCATGAGAATATTTTCTTTTTCCCCATTATCTTACCTAATTTAACCTACCAAGTTTCTAATTTTTACATTTTAGTTGCATTTATAATTATAAATAAAGAGTACAGATGAAAAAAGAGAAATATAGTACTACCTGGGTCTTCTTAACTTTTTTGGTGTCGACTGTTGATGACAGTTAAGCTTACTTTTTTTTTTAAACTAATAGTATTACTACAATAGATAGTTATTTTATTTAACTAAATAATGCACCTAAGACCACAGAATAATAACACACAAAAAGTAAACAATGTCCTATAACTAAGATAATTTTTCTATCTTTCTAACTATACGATAAGAGCCTTCAGAAAATCAGCTAAGCTTATCAGTTTGATTCCCATGAGAAAAGTTTATAATTGGAGGCAATTAAACATTTCTCTGTATAAAAAGCAAAGTAATATAATACATCATTTGACAGACTTAAACTTTGGCTTTCTATTGGTTATAAATAATATAGTAAATATCAGAGAAAACTACTGGCAATTTGTGAAAGAGGATGTGGCAGGTGAATGTGACAAATGGGTCCGATTTTCTAGTTTGTGGCTCATTAAACAAATAAGAATGAAGGCTAGAAAAATTATGCTTTGTCTGAGTAATATCTATATTATATTGATTAATTTATGTTAAATTCCATACTTCTTAAAAGGGTGATAAAAAAATTAGAGAAGATGGAAAATGTCACTATTTTCATACTAGGAGAGATTGAGAATTTTATAAAATATTTCTTTATACAAGTAAGAACTTAATACTTAAATAATATTAAAATTTGATTTATTAAGCTTATTTACATACAATGATAGTAAAATAATTTTATTAAATTTTGAATGTAAATCTATAAAAGGTTGTGACCTACCATTGCTAAAGGGTTAAAACACATAGAGAGGAGCAATAATTCCTTATCACCAGGTTATATGACATCTTTATTCAGATTTTTATTTATTTTTTTTCAAAAAAGAGGGTTAAAGCTTTGAAAACAGGAAAGAAAAAAAACTTTGAATCATCATTTACTAATGGTACCATGGTAAGTGACATCAGGTCAAAGAAGTCTACTACACAACTCCATTCTACCAGACAAACATGCAGGTTAATAATGTTGTATGCATATGACTATAATAAGCACTTGAAGATGCCAAACAAACATTACTAAAAATTGGCTACATTTTATTAGTGTTAGCCTAACTTTCTCTTGTCACTGTTTTGAATAGATACTAATATTTCATACAATATAGAAATAATTTCTCACCTGTCTGTAAAACTCTTAACCTTTCATGACGCTCACGAAAATTGAAAGAGTAAAGATGAGAAGAGCTTTGACGATTCTTTTTGAAGGGTCGATAAGTGACTGGATACTTTGTTAGCATATCTCTGCTTCTCAAATGTGGAAATTTATGTATGTCAGAATGAAGGCTAACCACAGAAAAGTTACAGTACTTTTCACATTTGTTAATGCTTAGAAGAGAAGAATTTGGTTCAACCATCAAGTGTTTATTAAGACTAAGAATCTGTTGACCTAGAGGGGAACAAAGATCTATGTCTTCAAAGATCCGATTAGTATGACCGTGATAATTTAACTTGATCAAATTTTGTAACTTAGAAGCGGTATTTGTACGGGAAATTTTCCTTAGTGGAAAAATTTGTTTTAAACTTTCAAAGCCATCCTTATCAATGAGAGATTTTTCCATCAAGTTGAAAGCCCGAAGAAATGAGTTCTGATCTATGCACTCATCTGAAAGGTCTTCACAGAAATAAGGTGAAGAAGAGATAGTTGATATGTCTGAAGAAGTATCAAATTTGTCTGGTTTTTCTACTAGGTAGCTATAACATCAGAAAAAGAAGAAAAAAAAAAGTTGTTTTTTTTCAACTTCTAAAATTACAAATAAATAGAGAACAATATTAAGGGAGAGAAAAAATGGTAATTTTACTTTGTTTTATATGATTAAGTGTATTTAAATTGACATATTTATTTAACTGATACATAGTGATAACTGTTTACATAAAACTTTTTGAATAATTTAATAAATGTGAATGGCTTCTAATAAGCTTGAAAATAAAACCTCTTGCAAATTAATATCCAAAAAGCACAGATCCGCTCAAAATATCTGTCAGGAAACGTGAGTACTCACTTTTCTTCATATGAAAATGGTATACTACCCAATGATGAAACACAAACTGACACTGGAAGGTCCCTGCTAGGATGGACATGCATACCACGTACTCCATACCTGTCTCTTCCTTATTTGCATATATAAAACAAAAACAATAATTAACACAATTACTCACACAAACAGAAATAAGTCTAACATTACTTTCATAAAGATGAATAACAAATGTAATACTTCCAATTAATTCTCAAAAAAGTAAATGCTAAATTACATGCTTTTTTTTCATGCTTTATAATTATTTGTTCAGAACTCTTACATTAAGAAACTAGCACGAATAGTATGTGTAAAGCTTACTCTAGGTAAAATGAAAGTTTATTTGGTTCTTTTTAAAGCTATTAACATTTGCCTTTAAGTATTTTAAGTGTTGCAGTTGTAAAAGGAAACAAATGATACATGTTGCCGCAATATTTACATAAAATGCCAAAACTCTTTCAATTGACACTTCCTGTTTAAGATAATCAGAAACAATTAATGCCTTCAGTGTCATCAACATATCTTTATTATTTCAACTGTATAAAAAATATCTGGTCTTTACGTTTTTTACAAATACTGTAAATGTGTAAACAATTTGAAAGGTAGGTGGTCTTGACTGGACTTCTATTGTCGTGTTACAAGGCTAAATGAGTATGTCATACCTTACATCATTAGAGTTCGTTACTGTGCCTTTATTACAACCCACTTCAGACAGTTTAGCTAGTAACCAAAAGGAGCATAGCATGATGATTTTTACTGAACTTTTATCTTTAAAGTAATATCTAAATAACAACAAACAAAAACTGATTAAAAATGAAAGTTTTAATGTAACTGTGTGAAGCCTATGAATCCTCTTGTCTCCTAAATCTCTCTCTGCTTATATCCTATTTGTTTACATACTGTTCTTCTAGCTTTTAAAAATTTGCAGTGTCTCCCAAAGGTGGTAGGAATTAGTTTAATATTCTCGATAGAATGAACAGGGGTGAGGACCTTCCAATCAATTACCTGAATGGAGAAGGGCTATTTATCTCTTTTGAACTGATTTGGTCAAACTGAGAAATATATTTGGCTGCCAAAAGGCACTAAAACCAGTAAATGTTTTTGAGAAGGAAGGGAAGATAACCAGTTTTAGTGAATTTGAAACTATGCAACATTATAATAAAATTACCACACACACACACACAAACTTTCCACACAGAATAAACACAGCTGCTGCAGTATATATACATAACTAGCTGTAAGTACCTATGAGTAACCATTACACCAGTAAAACAAGACTTCAAGTTTTCCATTCACTAGCAAACATATGGTTAATTTTCATTCTATGTCAACATTCTGTGATTTAAAGATATCAATCATCATACACTTTTTCCCAACTTATTTAAATAAGTTACTCATTGGTCTCATATATTCACATACTAAAATTTACATAAGTATTACCACATGATTTTACTTTCACATTTTCAGAATCAAAATGACTTTATAACAGGTATTTATTTTTGAAATACTGAAAACCTTTCCTTGTTGAGTTTGTGCTTATGCTGTCAACAAAATGCGACTCAAAATTTCTAAATATACTCTTTATTCTCACATACCCATAATTCTCCACTCTCCCACCTTCCATGTGACTTACTGCACAAGCATCAGGGAACTTTACATAACCTCTGCTTTCCCATCATAATTTATATTTTATTGGAAGTTGCAGTTGTAACAAAAACCCAGTTGTGGGAAGATGGGTGTAAAGGTACTTCAAATGTAAATACCTGCTTGAATTTCATTTTAGTTTTAGAACTGTAAAACTCAAATCAGGCGATCTTACCTCTGAAATTCTAAAAGCAATAATACCCCCACTGAACAGAAGGTGGAAACTGATACAGAAAAACCAATAAATCAAAGGGCACAAGGATAATAACCTAGACTACAATAATGAAGCAGTTGATCCAAAATCCCATATGAACTAGTCATTGAACAGGCACAAGCTAAACGTTGGATGTGTGAATAATACATCTCAAAGACAAAGCTAACTAGGTGGTCACTTAAATAAGTCAACAACTGAGCAAAATACCAATCATCCATGTAATGATGGAAAATGATATTAAGTGTGTAAAAAACCAGCTAATGATTTTACTACACATTTGAAGAAATGAGATGCCACAGCCAGACCAACAAGAGAGGGCCATAATCTGATAAACCATTCTTCCATATGAAAAACACACAAAGAAATGGACAAAAACATGGGTGAATTTGTAAATAAGAATCTTTGATATCCACTTTCTTCACACAAAACACTAACCCTTGATGAAGGAACTTGCATAAGTTTCTCACTGGTTCCCTCTTGAAAGGAGGAATGTCTAGGTAATGACCGAAATGGGAAAGATCTGATACTGTCCTCAATTTCCTACTTTTTCCCCACAACAAAAAAGAAAACAGGGAAACATTAAGTACAACTTCTATATCCACTTGTTTTGTAGTTCCAAAAATCAAATAAAAGCTGTAAGAGTCAAAAATTGAAAAGAATGGTAAACAGAAATGAAGAAATCTGAGGATCCACAGATGAACAAAATATTAGGTAGTCAAGAAACTAATGTCATGTTTTGGAACCCTTTCATTAACCACTCACCCAAAAATGTACATCACGTATAATAGTTAAACAAACTGCCTAAACATCACGTTAGTGTGGCCTATATAATGTGTAAAGTGTAGTATACTCTAATCCCTTATAGTGATGCCACACTACAAGACACAAATTTGGCATGTAATGCTGTTTGAATACAAGAAGGGGAAACAATGCCTCTGTAGACACAAAAAATATCAAAGAAGTTTATGGAAAAGTTTTGAATGTTCATAAGTGTCAACAGTAGTTGATGTTTTTTGCTTCAAAACCAAGTGATTTCTTTAATCAGGGCATTAACAACCCGACTGTAAGATGAAAAAGCATTATCGATAAGAATGGAGACTATTTTATTTAATAAATGTTTTGTTTTGATATACAAGTTGTTCGGGTATTTTCACCTAAACAAAAAGAGACATAAATTTCTTGACAACCTAATATCTGAGATGACTCCTAAAAGTACAAATAGAAGAGCCATTCATATGAGTGGATCACAAATTTTATTTGCCCAAAGCTACTCACTAGACATTCCTAATTTTAAAGTGATAGACTATAGAGAAGGCAATTATTCAACACCAGTCACCATCAACTCCTGGGCTACCGTATTGAACAGAAGAATTTGACTGTTACTCTTCTAATGCATCAACAGCCCCAAAGTGTGGAGCACATTTTTTTTCAGCAGTAACAGAGTACAAACCATGGGGCCTCAGATCCTGTTTGGCATGCTAAATACTAGGCCATCCTCAGCCCATAGTCATAAGTATGCAAAAGCAGGGTTGTTGTTTTTTAGATCAGCTGAAAAGAAGAACAAAAGAAGATTACCAAGTAACACACCCTGATGGGTTAAAGTTGTAAAGGAAGATAAAAAAAAATAAACTAATATAATTGGTTCTTAAACATTTGACTTAACAGTAACAGTGTTGACAATAGGCTACTGGTATTTGGTATTGAGTAATATTCTCAGGTTATAATTATAAATACAATGGTTAAGACTAGTGTAAGAATTAAGCATTCACATTTTGTTAGGTGTAATGGATGCAGTGAGTGGGTTATATTTGGTAACTCAAGATTGGCATGTATTTTTAAGGAAGCTAGTAATGAAGATGTGCAATTTGTATGTAGAGTTTGTAAGTTGGAAGAGAAGTTGGAGGCTATCATAGTTAAAGTGGAGACAACAGATAAAGAAAAGTGTAGACTGTTGGAAATGGCAGCAGGATTTCAAAAGGAGCTTAAGCTATAAATGCTAGGAATACATCAAATAACAATGACTTTCAAGAAGTTTGAAAGATTAGTATTAGGGCTAAAAGTGGTGAGTTTAATTGTAATGAGCCTATCCTACTGAGCAACAAATTTCAGGTCTTGGCTTCTGCAGACGAGGAACTATTGGAGGGAAGGAAAATAAAAGGGGCAGAGAAGGATCATAAGTAGGTTATAGTTATAGGTGATTCCTTGACAGGATAGTCTGTGTGGTAAACAGGGAAAAAAGAATCAGATTATGGTACCCAGAGGCACAGGTGGAGGATATAACTGACAGAGCAGGAGATATAAAAAAGGGGGCTAGCAGAGATGCAATTTTTGTGGTGCATGTAAGAGTTAATGATGTAGGGAAAGGTAGGTCAGAGAAGCTAATTAATAAGTACAACGGGGTTGATAAATGCATTTAGAGAAAAAGGCCATAACTTAATTTTGTCAGGGATACTACCCAGAATTAACTGTGAGGATGAAGTTATAAGTACGTCACTAGGGCTAAATGCTAGGCTTAGGTTAGTATGTAAGCATGAGCAGATTGGCTGGTTGGACTTGTGGAATCAGTTCAGTGGAAGAAGGGAGCTTTTTGGAATGGATGGTTTACATTTAAATAGAGTAGGGGCTGGCTTGTTTGCTAAGGCTATTACCTCAACTGTAAGAGAAGTTTTAAACTAGGACTAGACAGTGGTGAGGGCCAGGAAAAACTAAATGCAAAAAAGAATAAGAGGCAGAGAAAAGTTTAGCATAGAAGTAGCTATAAGGATAGGCTTAATTGTTACTATTGTAATGCTAGAAGGCTATTTAATAGGGATAGAGTACTAAAGAGGAGGAAAGGGGGGGGAGTGGCTTTATATGTAAAACGTGAGTTACATCCTGTTGAAGTTAAGAATATCAAAGATAATAGCAAGGAGATCGATTCCATTTGTGTTTCTATTAGCAGATATAGAGGGAAAAGGCTTTTAGTGGGAATTTGTTATAGACAACCAAATAATACTGATGAAATTAGTGAGAAACTTTACAATGAGATTAAGATTTCAGCTGTTAATGAAGTCATAATTATGGGTGAATTAAATTTCAGCCATGTAGATTGGGAAGTGCTAGAGTCAAACCACGAGGGAAAAAGGTTTTTTGAAACGGTTGAAGATGGCTTTCTTCACCAATTAATCAAAGAACCTACTAGAAAATGATGCTATTTTAGATTTATTGTTAACTTCAAATACAAAAATGATTGAGAGGGTGGAAATTAGGAAACATCGCGGTGCAAATGGTCATTGCTTTATTAGGTTCAATGTTTTGCTGCATATGGAGATAAGGAATAATGATATTTTGGTTACAAATTTCAAAAAAAAATTTTGAAGGGACGCAACAAGAATTATCTGTTGTGAATTGAGCAGGTGAATTATTTGAAAACACTGATGAGATGTGGAAATTTTTAAAGATAAATATTCAAGGTAAACATTCCTTATAGAAAGAAAAGGGTAGATGCAAGTAAAAAAAAAAACAGTTTGGCACACAGAAAGTATAAGAGATAAAATTAAAGAAAAGCATAAGAAATTTGTTTGTTTTGAATTTCACGCAAAGCTACACGAGGGCTATCTGCACTAGCCGTCCCTAATTTAGCAGTGTAAGACGAGAGGGAAGGCAGCTAGTCATCACAACCCACTGCCAACTCTTGGGCTACTCTCTTACCAATGAATAGTGGGATTGACCATCACATTATAACACCCCCACGGCTGAAAGGGCAAGCATGTTTGGTGTGACGGGGATTCGAACCCACGACCCGCAGACTGTAAGTCGAGTTCCCTAACCACCTGGCTATGCCGGGCCCATAAGAAATTTAAATTGACTGGTATGACGAGAGATTTAGATTATAGAAGATCAAGAAAGTTGGTCAAACAGGAAATTAGGACATCAAAAAGGACGTATGAGAAAAGGTTGGCTGAAAATGTAAAATTTAACAGTAGGGATTTCTTTAAAAATACTAAGAGTAAACAAAATGTTAGAAAGGAAGACTCACATCTGATGATTATGAGATAGCTGGGTTATTAAATTTTGCTTTTTCTTCAGTTTTTACTAATGAAGATTTAAGCAGTATTCCACATCTTGAACAGTTGATTGGTGGAAACAAAATCGAATAAGGCAACTGCATTAATTTTGGGCTGGTTAAGAAAAAATTGGGAAGCTTATAGAATGATAAGGCACCTGGACCAGATACTATTTCCCCAAGGATTTTGAAGGAGGTTAAAGATTGGATATGTGAGCCAATTACTACTATTTTATGTCAGTCCTGGAATAGTGGGCAGGTACAAGAAGATTGGAAGTTAGCTAATGTAACTCATCTTTTCCAGGGAGTTGATAAAAATTGTCCCAGTAATTATAGACTCATTAGCTTTACATCAGTTGTGGGAATGGTTTTGGGAAATCTGATAAAAGATGCTTTACAAAGTCATTTAACATGTTTAGAATTTTATTGGATAGTCAACATGGTTTCACGAAGGAAAAATATTGCCTTACAATTCTTTTAACATTCTTTGAAAAGGTTACTGCTTATGTAGATGAGGGTAAGAGTGTAGATTTGGTGTATCTGGATTTTCAGAAAGAATTTGACATAACAGGTTTGTAAAAAATATCTCTATAGGTGTGGGGGAAAAGCTAGAAAATTGGACAGCAGAGTGGTTGGATGGAAGTAACCAGAGGGTTGTTACAAATTGAGTTCAGTCAAACTGAACTAATGTCACAAGTGGGATACCTCAGGGCTCAGTCTTAGGACCTTTGCTTTTTTTGATTTACATCAATGACATAGATGAAAAAGTGGTCAATAAATTACTTAAATTTGCAGATGATAATTAAGGTCTTTGGTGTTGCTAGCTATGAAAAGGATACTGCTGAATTACAAAATGATTTAGGTCATTTAGGGATTTGGGCAAATAAATGGCAGATGGGTTTTAATTATAATAAGTACAAGATAATGCATGTGGGTTATCATCATTTGAATTTTAAGTATAATTTGAATGAAAATAACCTAAATGTCATGAAAGAAAGGGATTTTGGTGCAATAGTTGATCAATCTCTAAAGACATCCAAGTACTGTGCTGTTGCTAGTGGTAGGGCAAATAGGATTTTAGGTTGTATCTACAGAAATATTGAATTGTAGACTTGTAGTCTAAAGAGGTTATAATTTCACTGTGCAGGTCACTGGTTAGGCCACATTTGGAATATTGTGTTCAGTCTTGGGCTCCTTACCTAAGGAAAGACATTGAATTGTTGGAAAGGGTTCAGAAAAGGGTTACTATAATGGTGTCTGGGAGGGAGGGGTTGCCATACGAGGAGAGGCTGTAATCTCTCCAATTGCTTTCTCTTTAAAAAAGAAGTTAGAAGGGATCTGATTGAGGTGTTTAAGATTGTAAAGAATAGTGTTGATGCTTCATCGGTTTTCATATTTAACAGTGAGAATAGTAGGACTAGGGGACACAAATATAAATTTTGGCAAGGTAGGAGTCATTTTCAGCTAAGACAATTTAATTTTTCTAACAGGGTGGTTGGCCTTTGAAATGGGTTGCCTTCAGATGTGGAGGCAGTAAATTTCAGTGAGTTTAAGGGAAAGCTTGATAAGTATATGAATGGAAGAGGGTTGCTTTAAGATTTTTTTAAAATTTATTTATTAATAGTTTTAGTGTAACAGAAGTTGGTTAATATTTAAAACATAACATATTTGAGAAAGAAAAAATGAGACCAGCAAAAATGTCTTCATGATTATGGCTAGCAAATAAATACTGCTCTGCAATCATTAAAGCCAAATAGGCTCAAGTAAGAGATTGACCTTATTCAAAGAATAAAAGAAGAATGGCAAGTGTTATGCAAACTGAGCAACCACATAATCATGAAATTCACTAGGAACACCAGCATACAATGGCACAAATGCACTGATCAAGGCTAACAATGAAGTTAAAAGGTCATCCTGCACACCATTGGCAAATTGCACGAATAAGGTCTCCAAATAAGTTATAGAAGTTGAGATAGTGACAGAAACAGTTACATCAGAACTAGCATTGAATGCTGAATTCACTGTAGCAAAGTTAAAAGCATGGGTGCCAACAAGAAAAATCTCAATTATGATGGGAAAACAGAGCTTATGTAAGATCTAACACTAGCACAATAAGGAAGATGGAAGAATAGAAAACTATGAGTAAGTGACACATGCTATGCAGTGCATATAGAACATTCAAAAATGTTGAGTCACATTTTGTTCACAGCATGCACACAAACTCTACAAGGAAGGGCTTTCAATATTTCAGAGGTAAGACTATTTGACTTGCACTGTCTTATTACAAGTGCTCTAGCCATTACAAAAACAGCAAAGTTAAACACTCGCACACAATCTCCACTACTGTAAGTATATGCATGTAAATGAATACTTTGAAGAAGTTTTACACAAACAATTATAAAAGTAAATTATTATTCGATCAACACTTTTCAACATTAATTTTTAGTTATTTTTCATTAGCTCTATCAATTGTATGACTAACTTGGTTTAAAATTTTATATTTTTGTGTCTTTATAAAAATTCTTATTTTTCACTTATAATAATATGAACTTTGGTTTTCATTAATTTGGCACATTTGAAAAATAAAAATACATATCAGTATAAAACATAAATAAACATGTAAGTTGTATACCTTTGTAATAAAAATGATCATGAACAACTTTGGATTCTGGTGCTGGAACTGGAACAATTCTTGATTCTGGTGTCAAAACTGGTTCAGAAATGTCCTAAAATCCATGAACATATACATATGTATGTATCAGATTACGGTAATCGATAAGATAATGAGTAATTGCAGCAACAAATACTTACATGTTGGCCATTAATATAATAAGTACTCACTTTCTTTAGCATAAATGTGTTTGCATTCCCAACAATGTATGTTCATACAGAACAAATTCATGAAGTTTATGTTTATAAAACTCCACTAGATGAAATAATTGTCATCTAACATGAGCCCATATTTCATATCATAATGGAAAAGTCATTTCATGAAAAGTTCTAACCAGGGTTGCAGAGTAGTTACACACAGGCACAATGTTCCCCAAAATACATGGTCTTACCCCAAAGATTTTATTGTACAGCCAACAGGAATACTCACATGTCATCCATTCCTAATCCGAAATTTTAATAAATCTTCAATTCGAAGAGCATCAAATATGTGGTTTTATTTAAGTTTAAAACCACTTCTTACAGAGCATTGGATCACTGTACATTAATAGAAAAAAAAACAGTATCTCATGTGTGCTATCTAAGATACCAGCATCACACTTATTGTAACCAACATATTGTTTTGAATCACCACCATAAAGAAATCATGGGATGAAAGTACATGACTGTACATCCACCAGGAACCCAATTCAATGAGCTTTGATTCAATTATACCTTTAACTCTCCACCCACCCTGGTCCTCCAAATTTCCAGAAGTTTTGAAGTCTGTGCCCTGAATATTTTGGCATTCTGCTCCCCTGGTTCTAACTATGAAAGAATTAATCCAAAATTAAAAAAAAATACGTTTACAAGGTATGTTATTCATGGGGGAAAAATATTATACTTGGTTGATGTCACTTATCTAACTAAAATGACACATTAAAATATAACAGAAAAATGAAACCTTGGATTTAGAAAGTGAAAGTTGTACAACAGAAATGTTGGAGTAGGATTAGTCATACAGCAGAAATGGTGTAGCATTAAAGACATACGGCTGTGCTACTGGAACATGTTTTGTGCAGTGCTGAAGCACTTATATGATTAATATAAGCTGTCTTTCAGAAGTATCCTTTTTCTAAACATATCTAGATCAGAAACTTATCACTCCTTTACAAACTAAATGCAATTACTGCAAGATAAAAAAGTTGGAACTCCCTATTTTCAGCTCACTTAATGTATAAATAAACTTCAGCTTAAATCTGTGTAGACTGTACTCTTCATTACAAAGAGCCTCAATTATACCAGAGGCTATTTATCAGAAAAGTAGGTATAATTATAGTAACTAATAATAATGAGAAAATACATTTTGTACTAAGTTCTTTCAGAGTACACATATTTTCGTCTATTACATGTTCATTTAAAAAGTACAGAAAATAATGTAAATTATGAATTTTAAGCATCCTTAGAGGTTCATATGTATGGGTAAACCAGTCTATAAAACTTACTTGAGTCTCAATCCACAAATCTAGAAAGTACTATACAGATTTTAGTAGGTTAATAAAAACTAATAATAATAATATATGTTGTTAGAATAAATAAGTGATATAGTGTTAAAATTCTTACCCCAATTCTGACAGAAATAAAACTGATGAAAAATTTCATATCACAAAGTTAATCCAGTTCACACAGTTGTTCTTATCATGCAATTTGCTAATTTATAAATATTGTTTCAACCACTAATAAATATGCTGTATACCAGCTGGCCTGAAGAACCCTATTACTAGAAGAATGACCTCATAAACACTGGATATAGAAAACATATAGTGTGGTTAACATGCTAGTATATACTTTCCTTTACTTTCACTTTGAAGTTCTTTGGACTCAAAAGAAAAGTCACTTACATAATGAAACATTTTTGGCACCACACAACTTCAATATTGTTATCATTTTTAAACTTACTTATTTGATGTTGTTATGTTTAACCCTATTGCCCTGGGTACCCTTTAGTGTCTTATTTTCAAAACATTATTAAGCTACTTTTTGTTTATGTTATACCAATTATAATAGCATAAAATCTTAGCTAATAATCCATATTTTAATAGTATACACGTTTTAAGTTCTTAATTCTACAATGCAATAGTTTAAAAAATCCTGAACTTGCACTAGTGTGACCTACGTGAAACATTTTCTCTTAGCATGTCATCATCCCTATTTTATCCACAATCCCTCGAAAAACTATGAAATTTAACGTAAATTACTCTCTATAAAATTGTTATTGCTCGGACAAACCATAATTTTTATAGCCTTCAATTTTGTTTGGTTACATAGCTATCGAATGAAAATCAGAACCCTCCTGCCACACCCACCTGTCACATCTTCTCCTTCAGAATTCGTTATAGTTCTCTCTTACGTTTCATTATATATTACCTATAACTAATAGAAACTCAAGGTTTTTATCTATCAAATAACG